TAAAAAAAAAAAAAAAAAAACACACACACACACACCAAAAATAAATTGGCCAAATGTTAAGATGTCAAAATGAAAAAATAAAACAAACTCATTTGGCAATGTGGCTGATGAAACAACTCAACATAGAAGCCAAGTATCATGACAAAATCATGTATATACAGAACTTCAGAGTGCCCTTCCCAATAGCAACGTAGGGCTACTGAGTTGATTGCTGATTTAGTGTTAACTGCCTGCGGTTACCTTCTCAGGAAAAAAATAAAAAATAAAAAAATTAATGAGTTGAACTTGATCTGATTGACTGGCTGTCTATTCCAGCTGAAGGCAGGCACCACAAATTCACACCCTTCCAAACTCTAAAATCACAAGGAGAGCCCTCTGTGACATACATGCATAACTGCAGATATATAATCCATTGGAAAACCCTTTGGCTAAATATGCACACTTAATACTTTTTTTTTGTCTTTTTGATCACAGTTCAGCTAATTTATTGAGATATTTCCTAAATACATCAGGCACTGTAGAAATGAGTGCAGTGTGGATGGGGGCATAGCAATGGTCAGTAGCTAATAAGCACTGCTGCAGTGTCCCCCGAAGCCCCAGCACACCCTACTTTCATTGTAGTATTAATTTAAAAAGCACACATGGACTCATCAGCCCAGTTCTGACCTTCCCATCTTTGTGTTTTGTTTTCCAGAGATAACCACCCGCTTTATTTTGACTGGTCAATAAGAGCAAAGCTAATTAGTCAAACATGAACGACTGAGAAACCAAAAATCAAGTGGAGAAAATGACTCAAAAGCAAAATTAAAACAGCAAACAGCAGGAAAAACAACACAAATCATAAAAAGCTTTTTTTGCAATCATTTCAGCCATGCTTTTTTAAAAAACCAGACAGGAAGCTGTTTGGAGGGGGCACACCCAAAATGTGTCAGCTCATAATCACATCTCAGAGCTCAACAACTGCACTGCATGTGAAAAATGACAAATTAAACACATTAATGTGAGTGTTCATTCTCTTTCCTTCTATTTCTTTTTCTCTGTCAGCGGGTGGGTGTAGAGAGGGTGGGGGCGGGGTGGGGGACCTCTTGAGTGTTTTGTTTTTGATGGGGGGTGGGTCCAAACATCGGAGAAGATGATGTTGTTAATCTGAAACCGACTGGTTTGCGTCAGATATTGACCTTTAATTCATACAAGTGAGGTCATCAAATCAGGGCGATTAAAGGAAGGTGGGTGGGCAGGGTGGGGGTCTTTATTTTTATATAATTCAGTGCAGATTTATGAGTAATACCACAAACACATCCACCCAGTAAATGATTCATGAAGAAAAAGAAAGAGAAAGAATGGGAATTGAACTCAATGAACAGAAGGGGAAAAATGAATATTACACAACTTTGTTGGGTTTTGTTGTTTCGGTGAAGATTCTGCGTTGGTTTCTATTTTTGTCAGAACGTGTTAGGGTAACTGTACGGGCAGGCGCCTCTCTCTCTCTCTCTTGCGTCCGAGAGGCTAGCAAAAGGCAATTTACCAGTTAACTGATCAGCAGGCAGGCTTGGGGCGGCTCGTCATTGGGTGAAGAGTTCAGAGGTCAGAAGGTCATGTGTTAGTTGCCGGTGGCGGCTAGGTGGTTAGAAACAAAAACAAAACAAACAGAAAACAAAAGATAGAAAGGATATTAGTGTCAGCAAGAAGAGACTGGAATGACATCATTTTAACAATAAAATGAATGCAATCTCTTATTTTGCCCCCCTGCTCCTTATTGCCCCCTGCCAACCTGAGATGAACCCAGCTAATCCCATAATCATGACGTTGTCACATCATGATCCCGACTACTAAGCCCCCACCCTGAATCAGGTAGCTTGGTGGTTTAATTTAAGCGCACACTGCCCCAAAACCCAAAAACAGAAACGAAGAGAAGTTGAGCAGACAAAACAAAACTAGTGTTTTAGTGTCTTTCGGGTTCGAGAGCGAGTGACAAACAGTGTGATTAGTGGTAAGGAGACTTACAATAACTAAAGTTATGTGAGGGATTCACTGTGACTAGTGTTAAATGTGCAAGGAATCGATGAATCGATGTTTTCCGATTCTTTCTCTTTATTTAGCAGTATATTTTTTTATAGAATATAAATATACACAAGAACCATAAATACATTTGATATAAAATGCTCAAATATAAAATGACAGTACCTCATGTACAACTGAAATATTAAAAATGTATTTTAGCTTTATTTCAATATAATTGCAATACACTGGAGACAATGCAAACTAATTCAGCTTCTGTCTGTGCGTCTATCTTCCATAGAAAAATAAAATCCAAAATAAATTTAAATTTCAAGGTGAAATGATGTCTGTCGTCTGCCTGCTAGGTCTAACACAGTATAGAAATGCTTCCCCTTTTCCTTTGCTCCTTATGAGCAGAGGAGATAAATCATGTATGGGAACAAGCCTGCCCCATTTTAGGCTCTAATCTCACATCAGAGGAATGTCGTTATACACCTTCAACACTGCCTGCAAAGTACTACCTGTCCTGGCTTCACAGCTGCATAAACCGAAATCTGTTAAGATCACTTTTGCCTGAGCTTTGACATATACACAATTGTTTGACGTCTACATTTACTGTATATGTTAAGTACTAAATGTAAACAAAATGTGCACCATTCTGGTGTCTGGATGTGTAGACTGCCATAGTAATGAGTCCTAAAACCCAGAACTGAATCAGCATTTTTGCACTTCTGGTTCTCTTGCCCTGAAGTCAATAGGATTTTTGAATGTGTTTTTGGTTAGAAATCTGAAATAAAGTCTGTGGCCAATACATTTTCATTTTCTGGGATATTAACTGTCGTTACACCGAATACAGAGGCTCATCTCCTCACTAGTCTGCCTTTACAACCTCATTATTTTTAAACTTGCAAACTATTCTAACTACTGTAAATGACACAGCCATGGTCACTAGCTAGATCAGGTCACGCTAAGAGGAAAGGATTTTGTAGAAGAGGAAAGCGGATTAAATCAAATTACAAGTTGGAAGTCGTGATCACTGGACTGTGGTGTAGTTTGTTTATAGCCTAATAAGTGTTTTTTTTTTTGCATCTGATGATTGTATTTGGGCATCAAAAAAATCATAAAAGTGGTGTAAACTTGTGAGGATTACATGTTTTCAGCAAGATAGCTGTTTTGTCACAGAGCTTATGTTCTGCAATAATCCAAAAGCCTATGAAAAATTCCCATTGGCTTTTTGTTGAGGGAACAAGGATGATGCTAACTTTCAGATTGGTGTACAAAAATATATCATCCCTATGGCACTCTTTTAGGTAGGAAATGTGTGTGTGGTGGTGGTGGGGACCAAAAAAAAAAAGTACTGACAATATACAAATTCCCAACTAAGGCATCAAAGCATAACAGGCAAAAGAATCATGGAAATGCATCAGTCATTAGCAGAGTGTAGCTAATAGACTAAACTGACCTCTGTCTGCGGTCACAATCCTTTGGTAAGGATGGACCCGCGTGTCATGCCGTCTCACTTTAGTAGCCATTGCACCTAGATTGTAACAGGTCCACAAGGTTAGGAAACCATTCACTTTAAGGAAGGGAAACAAAAAGTCATCTTTTACAGCAATAAAATTCACATTTTTAACCGTTATCATCATAATGCTTGGATAATATAACTATACAATGAATAACAACATAATACAGATTATAGTACATATTCACACCACACAGTTTTTATGTCTAGAAAAATGCAGTAGAAAAAATAATACACCTTTTTGGAGTTTTACTTTAAAAATGCATAACTTAAGTAATAAAATTCCACAGTGCTCAGTTATTTAGAAGACCCTTTGAAATGGGGGCAGGTAAAGGGTACAAGCTCCTGGGCTGCCTGGAAAAATGGGATTCTTCCTTTGGGATCCAGACGGGGATTAAGAGAAATTTGTTTCTTTATTTTGAAAGGTGGGGAAATCCAATACAGCTCTGATGGTAATTGAATAGTGCCAGACACCACCTGCTTCTCTCTTTCATTTTTTCTTTCCCTCTTTCACTATTTCTCTCCAGGTCAATCAGTTCACTGGCAGCAGATGGCCTGACATTTCCTTATTCTCAGAGAAGTCAATGGCGGCTAGATACAATAGTGCAGGCAGCCAAACAAAAGCGCGCAGAGACACACGTGTGTGTGTATGTGTGTGTGTGTGTGTGTGTGTGTGTGTGTGTGTGTGTGTGTGAGTATGAGAGTGAGGGTGTTCTGCAGGGCCCTGTGTTGCTGAAGGCACCAATCAATAGTGTGAGTAAATAAAATGCACTAAGCGGGTGTAAAAGTGAGAAAAGCCAGTCAGCTGTCCCTGTCTGTTCTACATGCAATTCCCAGAGGCACCTCAAATACACAGGTCGGCTAAAATCACACTTGTGTCTGCTGCTGCCAGATGATGCTGTGAACATTAGAAGCATACTGTGTGAAATTAAAGATGGAAAGGTCTCTTCTGTCTTAATTTGGAAAACAGCTTTGCCTTTGTTAACTACAGCCTCAGTCCAACATATGGTGCTCATGTCATAGTATTTTATCAATAGACGTTCAGCCCTCTCTTTGGTAGCAGGGGTGTTGAACTTAAAACACCACTGAGAATGAATGCAATCTATATACCCTAATACTGAACTGTACTGCTGACACAGAAACTAAGGGGAATGGCAGGTATTAGCTGAGACTTCAAGTTCAAGAGGGGTGAAGATAAGACAAAGGCGAGAGGGGAACGAGGAGAAAAAAGGGAAGACTGGAGGAATTTAATGAACATCCCCAGTGGGAGTGAGAGAGGGACTATCTACAGGCATCAAGGCCTGCCTGCAGAGAACAGCACAGAGAAATGATTTCAAAAGCTGCAGAAATCCAAGGGGATCTGCTGCTACAGTGAATATGCCTCTAGGCCAGTGCATAAAAGGGTTAGAGAACAGGCGGCATGTATGTGAGCGTGTTTTTGTCAGCATGCCTCATTTCACACTGAGCCAAGTCCTCCTATATAAACCTTGCACACAATAGGCAATGTAAACCTGAGAGCGTATGTGTTTGGCAAGAGCATAACTAAAACAATAAAGGCTAAATTTTAAAGAGAACTTTCCAAGAGCTTAGCCCTCACAAGAGGTGTTCTATCCCCCGTTGCCATTTTAATAGAGTGTCCGTAGGAGCCACATACTGTAGCTGGTCATCCCATTACCAAGAGCTTCACCAGTACATCCACCCTGCGAGTTTGTCTGTCTATTTTGATCCTTAGGTGGACACGACATATTTACCTTTCAACAAGTCCTGACTGTGGCTCATGGAAGCCGCGTCCAGCACCCCAGCTCCGGGGTAAAACAAGCTGCCCTCCTGTCCAGGCTGGCTAAAGTTGGCCGCTGTACCCATGCTTCCCCAGGCTCTCTTACCTAGAACCCCACTGTGCTCGATGGGGTACTCCAGCAGGGAGGTGGGTGCCAGGGCATAAGGGTAATCATAGGGGGTGGTGTAGATAAGCCCGCCATCCGGCGTGGGGGGCACCAGAGTGGGGGTGCCATTGGGCAGCATGGCAGCCATCTGAGTGGGCCGGATGAGGTTCATGATTGGGGCCCCAGCTGGTGTTGGAGGCCGGAGTGCCTGAGGAGGCAACACCTGACCTGTAGGGGCCGCTATGAGACGGGGGCCCTGAGCGGCTGCTG